AGATTTAGTCTTCCAGAAATTCGCGTCATCTCAATTCTTGCATTGATTGAGTACACTTGAGGTTGTTTTTTACCAGCATAAAACCAGTGAAGGACGCCGAATATGGTGTGTCGCGTGGTATTGACTTCAAATTCGTCAGCAATGTTATCAACTTTGACTTTCCGCTGACGGCTAAACGGTACGTACATCGCGTTGGGCGCACAGCGCGGGGCGACCAGATGGGCACAGCCATCTCTTTCGTCAATAGTTCGGAAGAGTCGCAACTTTTGGAAGTGGCCAATCTCCTCTTGCAAAAGGCTGCTTTCAATCCTCAATCTGATCAGCCTAGCAAATCAGCTGGTAACAAATTTGCATTCTGAACGTTTTAGTATGAGCAACGATTTTGGATTTTAGCATTAATACTGATCTGTTGCTAATGAATAAATAGCTTCATCATCAAACTGCACTGATTATTTGGGACTACTTTTTTGCCTTATCATCACAGATTGCATTCACACTTATAATTTCAATCCTTACTTTTTGCGATTTTATTTACAATTGAACTCATCCCTCTATGTGTGCAGAGGCTTTGCTACTTTTTTTCGTTCCAGTCGATTTAATCTTCCGACCTTATCAGTTTCGTTTGTCAGAAGTGGACGGATTTCGGTATCGAGCACTGGTAGGTGATTTCGTTTGGATTGATTTGCCTAAATAGGACATTGTTGGTAAAATAACTCGCAAGCGGATCCGTGAAGCGCGTCTGAAAGAAATCAAGCTAGAGTTGATGAACTCCGAGCGCTTAAAGAGTTACTTTGAGGATCATTCAGCTGATATGGATGCCCTGCGACACGATAAGCCCCTTTCTTCATTGCAGCAGACTCATCTTAAGGATGTTCCGGAGTATATGGGTGAGTCGATGCTACGTCAACTGCCAAAACCTAGACAACTCTCCATCGAACTCAAAGATTTAAGTTGGTTTTGCTTGAGAGTTGAGTTCACTTTAAATAAAGCGTCGAAATAAACCTAGTTCTGCTACTTACAGTTAATGCTATGTCAACACAGCCTTCCTTTCGTACTTTAAAAGCAT